CTTGAGCTACAGTGCCACTTCGGGTTTTCTGGTGGTTTATTGGAGATAGGAGTCTCATGGTCTCTCCTGCCCGGGCTGGCTTTGAACCGCGATCCTCAGATCTCAGCCTCCTGAGTAGCTAGGATTACAGGCGTGAGCCACCAGCGCCCCGCTATTTCTTTTTTTTTTTTTTTTTTTTGGTCGGCCATGGGGCTTGAACTCTGGGACTGGGCGCTGTCCCTCAGCTCTTCAGCTCAAGGCAAGCGCTCTACCACTTGAGCTACAGCGCCACTTCCAAAACCTCCAGTGATTTTAACACATACTATTCTATTCTTCTGCAATCCAACCACCTTTATCTGCATAGTTAATATTTTTAACATTAATACCTTCAAATCACTTAAAGAACAATACTGAGTTGGGTGTGGTGATACACTCCTCTAATACTAGCCTTCTACTTGGTCAGGAAGACAGGGGAAGCCTAGGCAAAAAGTCACAGGACCTCTCATCTGAACTAACAGCCAGACGTAGTGTTTCACACCTGTGATCCCAGCTAAAGGAGGCATAGGGAGGAGGATCCTGGGTTGAGCCCAGTCTACAAAAGGCACTGTGACTGATTTGAAAATTAACTGAAGAAAGAAGGGATGAAGACAAAGGGGGGAGAGGGGGAGTCAATGTCCCTAGCTCAGTGGTAAAGCAATTGCCTAGCAAGTCTACAGTCCTGAGTTCAAACTCCAGCACTACCAAAAAGGAAGAGGGAAAAAAAAACTGCTTCCAGGGGGCTGGGAAGGTGGCTCAATAGTAGAGTACTTGCCTTGCATGCATGAGGCCCTGGGTTCGATTCCTCAGCACCACATAAGCAAAAAGAAAAAAGCCGGAAGTGACACTGTGGCTCAAGTGGTAGAGTGCTAGCTTTGAGCTGAAGAGCTGAGGGACAGCGCCCAGGCCCAGAGTTCAGGCCCCACGACCAGACCCCCCCCCCCAAAAAAAAACAGCAATCCAATTAAGAGTGACAACCCAAAACAGGGAATGTATTCACAGTAAAAACAAAAACTTTTCTATTTTAAAGGTATGGAAAAATCATCATTCTTAAGAAACAATTACGAATCTTTAAAATTCTGTACCATATAAAATATTATCCAAGTTCTTAATATTTAATAAGTGCCTCATAAATGGCCAATAAATACAAGAAAAAATGTTCAACATTTTAGCCACAAATGAAATGCAAATCCAAATGACACTGAGATTCCATCTCATTCCAGATAGAATAGTAGTCAACAGTGAGAGAGGGGGGCAGCAGGGAAGGAGCAGGGAAGAACCCTCATTCACTGTTGGCGGAAATATAAACTAGTGGAACCACTATGGAAATCAGTATGAAGGGTCATAAAAAAATTTAGAAACAGACGTACCTTATAATCATGCCCTACCATTCTGGAGCACACATCCAAAGGAGTGTAAATCTATACCAGAGAGACACACTTATTTATCCCAGTGCTTTAGAATCAGCCTAAGTGTCCAACAACCATAAAAAGAATAAACTGTGGTATATACACATGATGGAGTATTATTTGGCAAAACAAGAGTAAACTGATATCATGTGCAGGAAACTGGATAGAACTTAATATGTTGAGAAAGCAAATCTCAAAAGGCAAATAACTCCTATTTTTGTTTATATGCAGAATCTATACCTAAAATGATAATGACATATGAGTGTAAAAGGGGAACTGGGGTGGGGGGGGAATGAGGAGGGAGAAGAAGGCACTGTGCAGGGAGCATGACCAAATATATAATACCTGTATATAATATATACTATATCATTATATATTTTATTTTATTTTATTTTGGGTCCGGTTGTGGGGCCTGAACTCAGGGCCTGGGCGCTGTCCCTCAGCTCTTCAGCTCAAGGCTAGCACTCTACCACTTGAGCCACAGCGCCATTTCCGGCTTTTTTCTTTTTGCTTATGTGGTACTGAGAAATCGAACCCAGGGACTCATGCATGCAAGGCAAGCACTCTACCACTGAGCCACCTTCCCAGTCCCTATCATTATATATTTTAAAATATAATTATAAGCCAGTGCTGGTGGCTCATGCCTGTAATCCCAGGTACTCAGGAGGCTGAGATCTGAGGATTCCAGTTCAAAGCCTGCCAGGGCAGGTTAAGTCAGTGAGACTCTTATCTTCAATTAACCACCAGAAAACCAAACATAGAGCTGTGGTTCAAAGTGGTAGAGCAACAACCTTGAGCGAAAGAGCTTAGAGACAGTGCACCCAGGCCTGAGTTCAAGTCCACAACCGACCAAAATATATATATATATATATATGAAGTTATAACTATAGCTATATTTTATAATTATATAAAATATGCATGTATATAGTACATAATGAATATGCATATATGTAGATAACATGAAACACTCTAAATGCTGCTAAGGGGGGAGAGGAAAGTGTTGGGCGAAAAGAGAATAGATGGGATGAGTCTCAAAGTACATCTTACAGATATACAGAAGTACCACAATTAACCTCTTTGTACAGTTAATTTATGCTATTTTTTTCAAGTGCTTCAAAATGCTCAGGTAGAAGCAACACAATGTTGTTGTTGTTGTTTTACTTCAAAGTTGTATTATCCTTTACCTATCTTCAATTGCCCAGTCCCACTGAGTCAAAGTTGCCCACTACATTTGGTGGGGATCTCTCAGAAGACACACAGAAAAGTAACAATGACCACAGAAAACACAGAGACATTAAAATAACAAGACTGAAGGAAGAAGTTAGAGAGACTGTAACATGGGGAAAGGGAGAAACAGGAAAAAAAAAAAAAAAGGATGACAAATAACAAAATCTGTTCTTCCACAATAATTTATGTTTTTAGAAGAGTGATGTTTCCAGAAAGTGAATCTTAGTATTACACAACAGAAAGTAACAAAAAGGCCAACAGGAAAGATAGACATGTTCCATAAATATTGCAAACTCCAAGTAATTCTACATAAGCAAATCATCAATTTTATGTAAAAGAAGTTAGGTATAACTAATCAAGATATGGTACAGTGCCAACAAACTATCACCAGAAGGTGAGATATCATAGAAATCCAAAGCTGGACATTTCCTAAGCAATCATCTAGCTGAATTGCCACATTATTCAGGAAGAACTGAGGCCTGGTATTGTAATAACCTACAATCACAAATGATTTCAGGGCTTAGGAAAACTAAGATTCTTTGTTCAGTCATTTCCTATAGACACTGCTTGATTTCATAAGCTAATTATTTACCATCAATGATAGATGTTAAATGATCAACAATGTTAAATGATAAATGATAAACTTTTGTCAGGTGGAACAAAAACATTCTAGTAGCCAGATCAGAAGTAAACACCTCATGACACAGAACCTGCTCACACAAACTTAAAAACAAAATTAAGTAATACTTCACAAGGGAATTAACAAAAATGTCCTAACTTAAGGGGAAAAATACAATATTTTGAAATGTTCTCTGTTTAGATTAAGAAACTATTCAAAATTGAAAGTACTTCTTTGGGCCTAAGGTAAAGATAAAAAGAAGGGATCTTCAACAAGGCTTTGATAGCCAAATAAATCATTTCCTGGGTAAATCAACCTGATAAGGTTTCTGTAGCCAAAGCTCCTTTGATTAAATAGTAACTTATTTATCAAGGTTCATCTCAAATTTCAACCCCAAGTACTTTTAGGTTGTTTATACCCTCCACAGCCAGGCCACCGGGACCTAAAGCAGCCCCTCCCTTCATAGCCAATCAAAATGAGAATGCTTAAAACGTAAAAGCCCCAGCTTTAAGGTTTGGGGCCTAAACCCCTGTATTTGTTTCCAGACAAACTGATAGACCGGATTGATTCTCCACCCTCCCACTCGAGTAAACTTGACACATGCCATAATCTGGGTTCCACTTCAAAAAACCTTACTGCGGTTTATAGATACACCTGATTTGTTTGAAGCTTTGTTTTAACCTAGGACAGCGGTGGGGGGAGGGTAAGTATAAGCCCAAGGAGGTTGCTTTTAACTGCAGCTGCAAAATATAAGGCAGTCCTCTTCAAAATCGCAAATAATATCCCCCCCCCAAAAAAAACCATTGTTTTCAACAAGACTTCACATCATACCAACCCGGAAATGTAGAGCATTTCCAATCTGAAGAGGCAGCTTTCTGCTCCCCAGAAAAACACGTACTCATGGGGGTCTGGCTCTCTTTTTCCAGTTGCTTTTAGTTGATAGACTGATGGCAACCTTAGGCTCCATCCATGTCCTTTTGTCCCCCGCTTAGACGATCTCTGGCCTAATTTTGGACAAAATCCTGCACTGATTACCCCCTCCGTGTGTGTGTGTGTGTGTGTGTGTGTGTGTGTGTGTCCACTGATTACCCCTCCCCGTGTATGAGTCCCTCCTGCCCTCCCTGCCTGAGAAATCGTTACCTCCGAACCGGGCCCAGCTTCGTCCCCCAGTTAAGGAACGATCGCCCGCGACCCGCCACCTGGAGAACAATGTAACCCAACTCCAGCCCTTAGATTCCTCCATCCAAGCCGCAAGATTTATCTCCGAGCAATCCGACAGCGACTGGCATCCCGTCCCCCGGAAGACCCCGGCGGTGCCTGGCTCCCAGGCCTAGGACCCCGGACTGCCCCCCATCCTGGGGGGGGGGACTTTATACTCCTGGCGCATTTCCAAGACCCTCGCCCCGGGGGACCCCACGCCCGCCCTGGGGCAGCGGGCCCCGGGGGTCAGCGCCCGTGCCGCCTCCCCCCCTCCGGCCCCGTACCTTTGTAGTGCACCCGCAGGTTGTTCTGCGAGAGGCCGATGTAGCTGAACTTGTCCTTCGGGCTCCAGGAGCGGGGCAGCGGCGTCTCCTGCTCGTCCACCGCCGGGTAGAGCCGCTTCAGCCGCCGCTGCAGCTCCTTCTCCTGCTCGTTGAGGGCC